CAAAAAAATATACGTATTTTGGAAATGTTGAGTCGAATTAGTCTAGAATCGATTAATTTTATGAAAGAAAACCTTTCAAACAGCCGTAGTCCGTAAACTATGATTCCTACAAAATTGATTCATAAAGAACGGAACGTATCTACCGTCTTATAGGGGGATCTACTGTACCTTGATTTAACAAAATACTTGCAATTAACTTTATATGCTCAATTGAATTTTAACAATTTATTGTGAACTATCTAAACTAAAAATTGGACAGCTCTATATTCAACCATGCTTGCAATATACAGAAAAGAATGCAAGTTGGAACATAAACTAGATTATATAATTTATGAGGATAGTATTGAATGAAAATACAGTAAAACTTCAATTTAACAAACTAATTTGGGTGAGAGATTGTCTGTTAAAGCTAGAATTCCATTATATAATAAAGTATATTTCCCAAATGAGTGCGTTAAAAAATTAGTTTATCTGTTTTTACTTGTGTAGATACATTTGTATTTGTAGATACACAAGTAAAAATTATGTATGTATGTATGTATGTATGTATGAGAAGATTAATTTCACAGAAAAGTTTTCTATATGTATTATTGCTTGTGTACTCACATCATAGTTCTGAGACAGAAATAAATGAGTATACAATATAAATTGAAATGAATAACCAAACATTTTTTGGAAAATAAATACTTTTTAATTGTATTTAACTAAACAAATAAATAATATTCTTAAGAACAGTGACTCGTGAATTTGAAAAAACAACCTGATAATTTAATTACATTTAAAAAGCATTTTAAAATTAACAGGTTGGTAATTTTTACACGACATACAGACTAGAAATGTAGTCCGTTAAATCCAGAGTCTGTTAAGTGAAATTTGTTAAATCATGGCTTTACTGTAATACATAACTTTTGTCCTCATTTTTTATCAATTCTACTTTTTATTAGTCTACTTATAATCTCTCATAATTGGGAAAATTCTGAGAGCTTTGTTACAAAGTTCATTTTACTTATCAACGTGTTCCTTCCATGTCTTACAGTTTTATCTACAAAGTTCTTAAAATGACTCAATGTAAAAAATGAAATCCAGGAAATTTGGTGGCAGAACTTCGGTGAACTCTTGCTAACTCTAATGCTGTCCAAGAAACTTTATTGGTAGTTAAAATTCTATGAAAATTAGATCAAGATGATATTGCTGGCCATATTTGTAGTTTCAGAAAATTATATGATTTAATACATTTTCTTCTTCAAAATGTTAATGTAGCCAATACAATTTATAACTTGCATTTTGTTCTTGAAATGAAGATACAGAGTGTAAAGCTAAGGGTTTTGTTTTAGACTTAAATGTATTAAATTAACCAATAGACTATCCAGCAATAACTATTATTATTATTTTTATATTTTCTAATGCAAGTTTTAGTCCAGCAATCTCATCTCAGTCTAATGAAGGAATCATTATATTTGTATAATCATTGCAATCAAAAAACTCACTGCGCATATATATTACAAACAATACAATGTAAGTATACGGTGGCTTTTTGACACCTTTTGTTATAAAAAGATTTTTTCCAATTAACTATAATAGTATAAAATCATACCTAATATATGTAAGGTTACAGACGTGCTATTTGTAATATTTCCAGCAGTTGCAATTAATGTGTATACGCCATCATCCGTAATTCTTAAAGATGTTATTTTCAAGCCGACACAAAAATCTTTTAGACTTATTTCAAAACGTTTATCCGGCGGAAGTGGTTTTCCATCCTTGGTCCAATTCATATCAATGTTTTCAAAGTAAGGAAATGATTGAATACAGACAGAAAAGAAAACATCTTTTGATTTTTTCCTCTCAATTGCTTTTTCAATTTTATTGATTAAATTCAGGTAAGGTTTCTCAGTTAATTCTGAAAATTAAAATTAAATATATATTGAAAAATCATTCATAAAAATTTATTTTCTCATTTTTTACCATCTCTTTTTCCCAAGTTGAAGATGCAGAAAGGAGAAAAATAAGGAAAAAATGAGAAAAATTCATTTTATTTTAACTTAATTCTAAAATAACTTAATATAAAATCTTTCTCCAAAATATATCTAAAAATATTGGTAGAAGTTTACTTAGATAGTCCCAATAATCCACATTCATCTTGTTTGTGGATGGCACTTTCAGTCGCCATCCACAAACAAGATGGCGACTGGCACAGCTACTCTTTACACCGGCACTTAAAGAAATAATCTTTCACTCACTGTTGACATATTTCTAATTCCTTTTCTCCAATTTATTCGGTAAAAAACATGGTTCGGGTGATGAACGTAACTTTGTCCTTTTCCACAGTAGGAACTTTTTCCGCATTCTTAACACACATCTACATTCTTCCTCTTATGATTTTCAGGTTTTATTTGGCACTAACTTTCAGGGCTGAAGATACAATATCTGGCTCTTTCCAAACTAAAACACGTCCCGCTCCTTGATAAAACTTACTCATATGCCAAACTGTTCTCCTAGTTTTTTCATTTTGCTCACAACAATCTCGTCGATTTCAACAACACTTCCAGGTCCATCCAATTTTCATTCCTGTAAAATTAGATGACGAAACAATCATAATATGTCAACAGCTGTTCGACTACTCGTGCCCACACCCAAACAGCTGACGTTCAACGTGCATTCTATGCAAATTAGATGCCAATAAACGAAAAAGTTTGAAATTTGAGAAATTTGAAGTTGAGAAATTTTTCCAAATTTATGTTGAAAAATTACTTTAAATGACGGACTGTGACATCTAAAAGAAACAATCATGATGCTTTCGATAATTTAATTTACCATGACCTTCACATTTCGAACAATCTGCATCTGCAGGTCGCATACCAAACTTTAAAGCAAACGTACCAACTGGTGTATTTTTCTTGTCACAATTAAATTCCAAATATTCCAAATGAAAAAAAATCCCTTGAAGCTAAGAAAATTGTCCATGTTTTCCAACCTCTGCCATTACAACAATAAATGACAAAATATGAATTGTAAAGTGCAAAAAAAAGAATTGATTCACAGCAATACATAACTTTTTGAACCTAAAAATTTAAATTACTCTTAACACAGTTATAAAATGTTAGGAAATTATTCTAGTACTGAAATGACGTCAGAAAACTTGTAAAACTATATTAACTTTCAAAACACATGGAAGTGCCTCCGTTGGGATTACCAAAATGTTATTAATATGCCGATCAGACATTTGAATATTTTTTTCTCATAACTCAAAACATACTCATATTCATCATTCACAAAATATGCCAATTATCCATATGTTAAACTTTAAATTAGTCATTTTTTATGCTGAACAATTATACAAATTTATAATTTTCAAATCTGCAAGTTAAAATGATATGTTGTATAAATAAATAAATAAATATTGTACATATACTATTATATATAAGACATTTGTTATTAATTAATTATTTAAACATTTTTGCTGAGTACTAACTCTAGATATTATACAGAATGCTTTTATTCTTGAAATTTTGACATTAATATTTATTTTTAATGAATAAATGTACGGTAGATTCTTTCTTGTCAGGAGTGGTCCTGATATTAGATCCAGATAAGAAAGATTGAGATGTTTTAAATAAGACTAACTTATATGTTTATTGTTTCTATAGAAAATGTTTCTTTTTCATTTGATGCTTATTTTTGACAATTACAATTAATTTTGAAAATATTTTGTTAAAGTTGTTTGCTTCGTTCTTGGGTTGCCAACAAGCAGCAACATCACACTAATGCCTCGTTATCGTCGGCGGTGGTTGATGCATTGTGCTCTCCTACCAACTTCGAGGCAACCTTAATAGAAAATACATTAAAAAATGTACACACTGAAGTAAGGAAAGGTAAAATTTGTAGTAGTGTACAATATTCAAAAATTTTTGGTTGCCTTTGATCAGTCCAGAAATGGGAGAGTCTACCATATTAATATGGCTCTATACATTGTTGTTTACTGAAAGCTGTCAGTTTTCAAACTCATTTAGATCTATCACTTGCAACTCTTCCATTAAATTGTATTTATCATAATAAATAGTTACAATTCTATAAATTAAAATAAGATAAAAGCAATGCTTTAATAGCATAATTACTGTACATTATTATAATAATTATCTACATAAATTTATTTCTCCAAATTCCTGAAAAAACACACAGATATCCACTTTCTTCTATATTCTATATTAAAAAATAAAACTAGGAGATTAGAAAGCAAAAAGTTAATTATAAAAGAAGTAAAATTAATAAATAATTATGATCATTTTACCCCAAAAGTTATCATTAGAGTCAAAACAAAAAGAACCATTTAAATGCAGGCTACTCACTGATATAAAATATTATTGTATACATAATCTAGAAATATTTATTAAGTCAAAATTTAAAATTTAGACAATTCAAAAAACAGTGTAAAAAGTACAGAAGAATTTTTAAATCATTTAAAAATTGTAAATAATTGAAAAGAAATATAAAATCTATCATTAGATGCAAAGAATATGTATACAGAACAAATGAATAGTTAACTCTCTAATTATTTGTAAAGATTGGATTATCAAACTCAATGTTTGTCTTGTCTAATAAATTATTTTCAATTTAATAAAAAAAATATTATACTCAGTAAGTTGGTATACTAATGGGGTCCATTCTGGGCCCAAAATTAGCAGACTTAAGTGTGATTAATGTTGACACATTCAAATGTATTGTTAGAGGAATAAAATTTTACAACATGCATTAATGATTGTTTTATTATTTTCAAATTCTTTTGCTATTAGAGAGCTTATTTCTTCAAGATGAACACAGGCTATATATTATTTTCATATTAAAAAAAGGAAAATGCACAAGAATGAGGCTTTTACTGTGGCATTGTCTGCTCCATTCAAGGTCAATCCCCCTTTGCCACTTGGCGGGACTTTTTAAAACCTTTTATCTTATATTTTCGATTTTGGTTTTGATTCGTGCAATTCAAGTAGTTGTGTATAAGCTTAGTTTATATTGCCTCAGTCATTCATTTCGTATAATAGTACTTAAGCTGTCAGATATTTACAACTATAAGGAGCGAATTTATTCCTTTACATGAAACTAAACTTTTGTAAGTACATGTATAGCATTTTTATCTGTTCATTGTTTTAGTATTAAAACTACATACTATTATTTAAAGATAAGAATTAGTCTTATGTTGTCAGATATCTGTCTACATAAATTGAGTTATTTCAGTTAATTTTCAGGTGTACACCTCTGCAAATGAGCCTTATCAATGATAAAATGCCTAAAAAACATCACAATTGTCACAAAATACATTCGTGTCAAGGGACTATTGGAAAGTTTATTACTTCCTATATATGTAAGCTACTTAAAACTCAGACCCCCATCATTCCTTCCTGCTAATTTCATCTCCCTACAAACTCTCAAACCCTTTGACCACTCTGGACCAAATTCCACATAGTTACTATCTGGTACCCTATGGAAATCATGGACTACCATAAAACTAGGATCCTTCACTCCTCCTCTCTCATTTCATCCTCCCAACCCTAAACTTCTACACCTTTTGAGCAATCTGGAAAAATTTGGCATAGTAAGTCTCTAGAATACTCCAAAAAAAATATAGGTCGTTATTCTTTGTATTTATATGTGTTGTTTTTTATTTATGTACTTGTTTTTCCTTTTATATTGTGTCAGGTGTTACTTTTTGTATGTTAATTTGTGTTCTTTTGTGCCTTGGTGTCACCTTTTCCATGTGAATCCTACAGGAGCACGCTGATTGGGCAAGCAGTGTGTACGTGTGTAAAAACATACTTCCAGATGATGATATATATAAAAATTGTGGGTTGGCATCTAAAGGGGACCTTTTTCTCCAGCTACCTGGCTCGGAAATGTTTACGTAGGAGGTAAGATACTAGAAAGGAAATCGTCGTCAAACACGGAGACTAACGAAGGGACTTATCGAACACTCTGAAGAAATCCATGTCCATCCATTTGGACAAAGAGAATCCATCAGACACCATGCTGAAAATGTGCGAAGGAGTCCCCGGATTCGTTATTCAGACTATTATGTTTTCGAAATATGATCCAGGACCCACACGTAGAGAGCGTTCCGGAGTAACAAGTTGTTCTCAACACGAATTGACGTAATCGATTGTACAAAGCCGTCTCGAGGGTGGAGGCCATAGTGCACGAATGTTTCAAACGTATATATGTATATATAGATGATAATACCAATGCGAATTTATCACATATGTGAATCGGTGCGTTCTGGTTGTCGGTTGTGTTTTCATAGTCTTATAAAATACGTATGCAGCCATCATATTTTCTTATCGTTATATTAAACGATCCTTGCATTTTTGCTACGTTAGTCTGGTATTCGTTAAGTCCTCATTACCCATCTTATACACACTGTATATTCAGGTATATTATATTTTCTACACTATGCTACTTTAAAACTCGGACCCTCACTCCTTCCCCAATTTCATCCCCCACATATTGCCAAACCCTTTGACTAATTTGCACCAAATTTTTCACAGTTACTCTTTGTCATTCTGCGCGAGATATACACTACCCCATAACAAGGCCAACTTAACCCCATCCAAGTTTCCGAGCAATGCCGGGCATTCTTTGTTAGTTCTATATTAATTGTAAAATTTAGATATAAAACAAACCACTTTTGTTCGTAACGTCAATTCGGCGGCGTAATAAGCCCTAAACTTTAAAGAACTCATTAGGTTATCACAACTTAATGTTATACTTTAAAATAATTAAATTTTTATTACTTACCATAAACTTGTATCGTTTTGTGAGTTTTATATTTTTTCTTGGAATGATCCGTAAGTATGCACTCGTAATCTCCACTATCATTTAATTGGACATTGCGTACCACTAATTCCTTCGTTACAAATCTATACTTAAAATTTTGTTGGTTTACTTTTTCTTCTACGTAAGAACTTTTTTCTTCTATTCGATCATTCTATTAAAAATAAACCAATTTTATTTTTAACGATTCAATTTCAAGATATTAGACAGACGGCCATTATTTGAATTATTCGGAGTATAATATTTACGGATATACAATTACAGGTACTCGTTAATTCGAATTAAAATATTGCTTAAAATCCACCCTTTCGACACACATTCTAATTATGCTTTACTTTATTATTATACTGTATAATTAGAATGGGCTTAAATATTAGTCTATATATATATTATATAAAATATAATTAAATGAATTTTAAAAACTATTTATTTGGAGAAACTAGGATAATAACGGAGGCGAAGCAAGAGATCATTGCAACAAGAGAAAAATGAAATATTTACGAAGGCCCGGCGGACAGAGCAATCTTACAGTTCATAAACTCCCACAGAACGATCCCACGAGAATTTCGAACGCCTACGCCGGCGTTTCCCAACACGGGGCAATTGGAAAACGGACTCATTTAGAGTTTAAGTTAACCGGGTAGCCGCCGTATACGTTAGGGGGACGTAAGAATTTTAGAAAGGCTTAGGTGGGGCATAGCACAAAAAAGATTGTTCATCACAAGTGATAGAACACGACTCAATACATATAGAATTAATGGCACGCTTAAAGACACAACTTTTATTTGGTGCTTCAATGCATTTTCTTATATTTTCTATTATCTTTTGTAAATTGTTTAGTTTTAAACAACAAACCTGTCAAAGGTCATTGTTGCGCACCTAATTACGAAGCGAACTATAAATTAACGCAACGAACACCTCCGGCGAATTCACAAAATAAAGTCGAACAGAGTAATACGTAGATGCAGGCACGTAGCAAAAGCACGTTAAAAGGCGCGCCGAGAGAGGAGCGCCGCCTCTCGATCGTTTTTATTTAAAGAAAAATAAAAATCGTCTGCTGGTCCCAACAATCATTATTAAACTAATGTTCGCAATCTTCAGACATATTTCTTGCCGTACGAGGTTGTATATGGTTGATCGAGTAATCTACCGAAGCATTTATTTTATAAATTATAGCCCCATACATACCTACGAGCCACCCCCTTTAAATCGCCCTTCCAGAAACTGCCACCTCGGGTTTTTTTGCCGAGTCGCGGAGAAAAAGATTCGTTCCGCAGTAAATCGATAGTAAAAAATAAAATAAAGTAGCCATTTTCCATTTAAAATATTTTGTATAAACCAAGTTTTTTTGTCACAAAAGTTGATTAAATGAGAATACTGCGGGAACGGGAATTCCCGGCATCTTTGGAGAATGTGAGAAACGAGGGTTTTCGCTACAAGTTATGCTTTTCCCTTACTCGATCGGTGGCGTACCGTAGGGGGCGGTAGGGGCGGTCCGCCTCGGGCGGCATTTTTTAGGGGGTGGCAAAATTTCAAATAAATGATAATAATATCTTGTAAAATTTTGAAACATCCTAATCTATACTTCCATCGCGCCTATCGTCCTGACAGTCCGGGAATCCGCTCGCCGGGTGAACTAGTAACTTTTCTATCTGAAGAGGTCCTGCGAAACCTGTTGACCTTTTCTGTTTTTTTCTGCTTGTACGATTCATTCGCGTTCATATACACTACTAATATCCAATACAACTATTTTAAATAGGTCGCTGCACTACCACCGAATTTTTCATTGCTTGTTCTGTGACAATACTGAATTTTGGTCTTTTAAATTGAAATACCTAAATAAGGGGGGCCGAAATTTTCCTCCGCCCCGGGCGGCTGACACCCACGGTACGCCACTGTACTCGATTGATGGTTAGGAGTGACCATTGCGATGATTAATATCCGCGCGCGGTTCGAACAACAGTAAGACGGAGTGGGATGTATTGTACATTCTTACAGCCAAACGTGAAACTCTAGATCTTTTCGTGCTCTGAATTCTTGATATACAATACATACTGAACACCGTGATTTTTTAGTGTTTAAACAATGAAGAAGGAAACTATAATTTGTTGAATGTTTGTCTACGAGGACTCGGGGCCGGCGCCGGGCAAATTCGGCGCGTCGGCCGGAACCCGGTCCCGCGGTGTACGAAAACTCGTCGGACATTTTGCGGGACCCCTGTATAGTATATTGACTATTCGAGTGTGTGTGGAAAATGCGATCGCGTAATCCGCTAATCGACAACTCGCTGCACACCGACACGAGTGCGAGATTTTTTTCTCTCCCGTCTTCGCATCGAAATATTTCGTTGCAGCCTGTTGCGGACGTTGACGTTAAATGTTGACATCGAACGTTGGCACGTCCGCAACGCGAGTGCGGAAGACATTAAGTGTTAAGGTAATTACCCAATTAGAAAACACCGATTTAGATTAACTTTTTACAGAATGATGATACCATAAACAGATGCGAGACATTTTTAGTAGCCATGATTCGGTTTGAAGGCGTGACAAAAATCATCAAAGTTCGGTGTAACTCCATAAAGTCCTTATATCCTGGAAACTAAAATACAGTCGATCCCCCCCATGACACGGTAGATACGTTCCTGTTTTTATGAATCCATTTCTTACGAGTCCAGCCAATCATAGCCCGGCACGTATGCAGTTTACGGACTACGGCTGTTTGAAAGATTTCTTCCATAAAATTAATCGATTCTAGACTAATTCCACTCAACATTTCCCAAATACGTATAATTTTTTGGGAATAATCCATATAAACTATGCTATAAACAAAAAATTGTAGGATTACGTACCGAGCATGCACCGTTCGACTACGTCGTTGCTTAAGCTTGTTTTCGTCGTGGAGATTGCCATCGAATGGCGCTCGCGTGCTACCTGATAAATTATTTTTTTTTTTTGCGAAAAATTCGTTGAACTTTGGAGACATCGTTAATATAAATATAATTTTTATGGACGTTAAATAATAAATTGTTTTTAGTAGATCCGCTGCTCGTTTAAACTCAACGGTTTTTGCAATCCTGTCACGACACGAGTCGGCGATGACGTTTTACCGAATTATAGGAGTTCTTTTAGCATGTCTATACGAATACTGTCACAATTTTTTCGCCGTGATATAGGAATCCGAACTATAGGAACCCGTGTTATAGGGGGGTCGACTGTAATTATTTTTAGAAGATTTAATCTAAAAGGAAAAAGCATTACAGATATTTTTTAAACATTACATATACAGTAGAGCGTCGATTATCCGAATCAATTGGGGACTGGAGTTGTTCGGAAGATCGATGTTTCGGTTAACCGATTATATACGAAAAAATATATTAATTTATCCCATGTTGACATTTTTCTCCGTTGCGTGTCGCTTCGCGTTGAATTTTCGTCTATGTTAAGCCTAACGAAGACTATTGTATCGTTAAAAATTATTTTTTTATTTTGTACAAACAAAATCAATATATTGAAAAATATAAAAACAATAAAAAATTATACTTCAGAAGTTAATTTAGTACGTAAAATATTTGAGTAGCCCAAGACATAGCCAAAGATTGCAGTGCCACAGCAATGGCGAAAATTTAAATTTGCAGACTGAAATTCTTTCGGATAATTGACGTCTCGGATGATTGGCTTTCGGATAATCGACGCTCTACTGTAATACCAAATTTGTTTACTTCTCGTTGGATAAAAATTTATATAAACGAGTTAACGAAATACATAGGCCTATATTAAATCACGTTTATAGTAAAAAAAAGTAAACTTTCCTTTATACTTACCGACGTACGCTTGTTTGGATAATTCCATTCCGCAAAAACGATGGTTCCCAAGTCTACTCTTACCGAACAATTCAAAGAAAACGAACTGTTTACTAACGCGAACTTTGTACTTTTATTTGGTTCTATATATGGCTCCAACGGGGAAGGTTCGTCTAAAAATATTTCAAAATAATAAATCGATAAATAAAAATACAGAAAATAAATTTTTAAATGCTCGTAAATTGTATATTATACACCTGCGATCAAAAATTTTCCAGAAGTCCATTTAATATCGAGCGTATTGAAAAGCTCGGATTGCTTCCGGCAAACGATATGGCAGCCGCCGTAAGGCTCTTAACAGCTGTATTTTGCGTCGACGAATAAACCCCGAATAAATTAATATTCGGTTAGTACGTTAATAGAATATTTTAATATACTGGTGTATTTACCTAAGACGTCACAATTTTTTGTCGTTAAATCTTAGGATCGATTTAATTATTTAAAACTCCTACGGAAATTTAGAATATCTTTATCTCTATTTCTCTCTTCGAAATTTTTATTTTTCATTAATTGGTTCTAATTAAAGAAGTTCAAAAATCATTTAACGTAACGTGGAATCGCCATTTTTATTGTTTTTTCTCCCGAAATTGCCGGAAACGCTAGCAGTTGCATCGCTTCCGGCAGCATCTCGCTGGATCGATGATGAGATTTTGAATACGCCCGTAGCTGCGAGTAAAATATAACAAATATTTACATAACCACTTAAAAAGTAGTATCCGTCAGCGCGCACACGCACCCGCTCGTACAATCCCTCCAATCCTAGATGCATCGGAAGTAATGGGTTGTCTGTCGTATCTCTCCGAATCGTCCCTACTATCGACCACGTACGGGTACGTTCGAGTACGACCCGAATCGAGGAAATAGCCAAAATTTGAAGAGCGTAATATCCAATATGTGTGGCCGTTACGCACGACCGCGACTCGTTTCTCGGCTAAGAAACGTCACGCGGCTTCCACCGGAAGGAAAAGCACCGAATTTACGGTGGGCGGACAAATACGATAAATACATGTGGACTCTAAAGGGACGACGATCTACTCGTTAGCCTATACTAGAGTTGTCAACTCTCCCGGAAAAACACCTTCAGTTTTTAAAATCTCCCGGATTTTTCGTCATGCCAGCACTAAAAGAAATCGGAGCAGCTACCACCTTTCGACCCTCGAAACATACAGAATGGCATGGCGGCTAACGACTCGGGCTCCGGCTCGGTAGCTACTCCGGTCGGTGCAGCGACTGTACCGACAGAGAGCGGCAGTGGCGCGAGCCTTTTTTCCGTAAGACCCGCGCGTATTGCCAGACGCTTTGCGCCGCTCCCAGTCGGTGCGGTCGCTGCGCAACCGACGCCGCTACTGTTTTCGCGTCAGTCGACGCGCGTCCGATCATTCGACCCGCCCGGCTTTCTTCACCGCGCATCATCGCTTGTGTAATTAGTGGCCACGCTGCGACAGAAGCGGAAAGCACGCACTATTTTTATCTAAGTAATACATAATGACTTGTATTTGTAAACGCTGTAAGTAGGTACGCGAGTATTGTTGTTGTCGCTTTGGTATTTATACGGCACAAATATCGTAATGTCGGATTCGGAAAGCTCGACGCAAAAGACATCGTCGAAAAAGAGGAAACTGGTTGAACGATCCTCTGTTTAGTACTCGGCTTAGTAAACGACACAATTTCACCTCTGAATGTAAATTATTCACGACCGATAATACAGTTAAATACAAATGTAAAAGAGCTCCGATTGTGCATTCGGAATGAAAAAACATAAGTTATTTTTCGAAAACGAGTCTTCTGTGGCATCAATTTCTAGTTTCTTCGTGAAAAAACATTCCCGAGATGAAGACCAAATAACTGCTGCAGAAGTTACTGTGTATCTGTGTATCGGCATCGTCGCGGCTACTCGAACCGAGATTGGACAAATAAGTTGTTTCCTACGTTATTTCCCGATTTAGAAGTTGCGAAGAAAGTAGTGTGCGGGCGAACTAAAGCTACATCTATTTGTGAAAATGTCGTAGCCCCGCCGTCGCAAGAAATACTGCTATTCGAATTGCACGATTCGACATATTTTTCTGTTGGCACAGATAGTGTTACCACCCGTCCGGTTTTCACCCGGACAGTCCGGGAATCGACTCACTGTCCGGGTGAACTACAGTAGACTCCTATAACGCGGGTTGAGATAATGCGGATTCGTATATCGCGGCGAAAAAAGTGCGACCGTATTCTTATAAAGACGATAAAAGAGACTCGTAAAATGCGGTAAAACGTCATCACCGACTCGTGTCGCGACAGGATTGGTCGAATCTAGACCAATAGTGGACGAGCAGCCGAACTACTTACACGCTACCGAGAGTTTAGGCGGGTAAGTCGAGTTTACTATCGTCTGTACAGTATATAGATATAAATTAGGTACTGTAAGTCTAATACAGTACTGTAATTTTATACATTTCTTGTGAAAAAAACATTTCTTATTCAACGGCCATAAAAATTATTTATATTAATGATGTCTCCAAAATTCAACAAATTTTTCGCAGAAAAATAACTTATCAGAAAACGCGGCCGCCGTTTGGTGCGCCTCTCCGCGACGAAAACGAGCTTAAGCAATGGCGTGGTCGAACGGTGCACACTCGGTAAGTAATCCTACAATTTTTTGTTTATAGCATAGTTTATACGTATTATTCCCAAAAAAAAATTATACGTGTTTTGGAAATGTTAAGTCGAATTAGTCTAGAATCGATTAATTTTATGGAAGAAAATCTTTCAAACAGCCGTAGTCCGTAAACTGCATACGTGCCGGGTTGTGATTGGCTCATGTATTTGAGGATTCCGACAATGCGAAATTCTTATAAAGCGGAACGTATCTACCGCGTTATAGGGAGATCGACTGTACACGACTTTATGACAAAAAAACAGGAATTTCGGAAGAGCCAGGATCTTCGTTACAAAAACTGAACTGTACATTTCTGTGTACATATATTCTTGTGTTATTTAACATATATTATTACAGTAGAGCAATGGTTCCCAATTAGTGGTACGCGTACCCCCGGGGGTACGCGCGGCAATCTAAAATTGGTCGATTTAAAATTTAAATGCATGAGATGAAGCAATCAAAAAAATAATGGGTAGACCAGCAAAAATTCGGCAATTTACAACATGATGTCGAATGTACAAATTCGTTTATTTATAACTAAAAATATTCTCGAAATTTCATCAAAAAAATGCATTTGCGGCAATACCTAAATGAAATTCTTGCGCGAGAAACAAAAATTATACATATTGATTAAAAACCTACTACTGTGAGGTAGGAATAAGGACTTATCACACCAGTGATAATAAGCACAAATACTCAAAATATCAATGGGATACATTTAATAAAACGAGAATGGGTGTACATTACAAACTATTAAATTAATAATTGACATGAAATAACCAAAATGCATTTCGGACTATCGGAATAGTCCCTCTTCAGTTGGTATACATATATAAAAAAAGGTGAGATACTTAGAATTATACAAGACAAAGAAACCGTTATAAAAGTATGATTATTGAGTAATAATTGGGTGTAGAGGAACAGGCTTAAGGTGGCTTCATTATGTTAAATGGTAGCTTGACATGAGGGATACTATTATAAACAGTATTAAAAATTAGTGAGATAATATGATGATTGTTTTCTAAATCTACATACCATAACAGTAGTAAGCTGGAGTTTGAAGGTGGTATTGCTACAAGATGTAGAACAGTTATGAGAGAGTTATGATTGATTAAAAACCTACTACTGTGAGGTAGTAGGTTTTTAATCAATTTGTTTAAATCAAGGGCTAAAAGCAATTTCCTTTATATTTAATTTATAGAATAATTTGCCTAGATCCCAGTTGATATTTGAGCACAGACCCTCATATATATAATGATGAAATCTATTGTCTTAATACTAACATCTGGCTGGTAAGTGATGTAATGAAGGTTGGCCATTAAGTTGTTTGTCACCACTTGTTCCCCAGATGTTGCCTGTAACACACCTCTCTCATAACTGTTCTACATCTTGTAGCAATACCACCTTCAAACTCCAGCTTACTACTGTTATGGTATGTAGATTTAACTTATTTTGTAAAACAATCATCATATTATCTCACTAATTTTTAATATTGTTTATAATAGTATCCCTCATGTCAAGCTACCATTTAACATAATGAAGCCACCTTAAGCCTGTTCCTCTACACCCAATTATTACTCAATAATCATACTTTTATAACGGTTTCTTTGTCTTGTATAATTCTAAGTATCTCACCTTCTTTTTTTATATGTATACCAACTGAAGAGGGACTATTCCGATAGTCCGAAATGCATTTTGGTTATTTCATGTCAATTATTAATTTAATAGTTTGTAATGTACACCCATTCTCGTTTTATTAAATGTATCCCATTGATATTTTGAGTGTTTGTGCTTATTATCACTGGTGTGATAAGTCCTTATTCCTACCTCACAGTAGTAGGTTTTTAATCAATTTGTTTAAATCATGGGCTAAAAGCAATTTCCTTTATAAAAAATTATACAATTAACACAATTTGTTTTCGCGAACTTAATTTTTAAAATTTTTGTCGCTATTGCGAATAACTCCACCGACCACCTTCCCATCTCTGACCAAGACGAATTAATAGACATTTCATGCAACAGCAGACTCAAGAGTTGTTTTGCAGAGCAATCATTGGGTAATTTTTGGGCTGACCTAAAAGACATTTATCATGTCAGCGAAGCGGCAATAAAATATTTACTACCATTTTGCATAACATACCTCTGCGAGAGCGGATTTTCGGCCATGACAAACCTGAAAACTAAACATCGTCACCGACTTCAACTCAAAGATGACTCGAAACTGAAGCTGACCAAAAAGTAACCAGATTTTACAAAGTTGTGCAATGAAAATCGTGCACATTTGTCACATTAAAATTAAATAACCTTATGTTATTTCCATTATTAGAACTGTATTTTAAAGGTAATAAATGTAAAAAAAACTTATTCTATTTATCACTAGCTGTCTATCCGCAGCTCCGCACGCATTATATCAAATTTTCTCGTGAGAGTAAGACATTTTCTCGTAGTAAAATGTAACCTATGTCCATCTCCAACATGTAAGCTATCTCAGTGCCAAATTTTATTAAAACCTGTTCAGCGGTTTACACGTAGAAAAGGTGACAGACAGACAGTATTACCTTCAAATTTATAATATTAGTATGAATTAATATGAATTTCTGCTGTAAGGGGTACGCGAGTTTGAGCTCTTTCTTGAAGTGGTACGCAGGAAAAATTAATTGGGAACCACTGCAGTAGAGCATCGATTATCCGACCCCCGATCGACCGTCACATCGGTTAACCAACCGCGTTCTAGTCGTCAAATTCAAATGTCCGCTAGTGATGTGGCGCTACAATATTTACCTACGTCTTGGCTACTTTAATATTATTTTTGTTAAATTTTTTCGTGTTTTACTGGCAACACTGGCTCGACCATAAAAGGAAGAACAGTATTTAAACGAGGCTTAATTTTCTAATTACGAGTGGTTGGTTGTTTGTTTCGTGAGCAATAAGATAAAGTAATTTAAAATAATTTTTAACGATACAATAGCGACGATTATTATTTTTAAAAAATTTTGTTAGGCTTAACATCGATGAAAATTCAACGCGAAGTAGGTTAATAGCGATATACTAATANAAAATAAATATATTGAAAAATATAAAAACCAAAAAAATATACTATAGAAGTTGATCTAGTATTAAAAACGTTCGATTCGGCACGACACACAGTTGTCAGAAAAACACCACACAAAAGTGCCAGTGCTGCCAGCCAAAACACACACATCAAACAAAAAAAATATTGGAGTAGCCCAAGATGTAGCCAAAGATTGCAGCGCCACAGCACTAGCGAAAATTTACAAACAAAATAAATATATTGAAAAATATAAAAACCAAAAAATATATACTTTAGAAGGTTATCTAGTATCAAAAACGTTCGATTCATGATGACACACAGTTCTCAGAAAAATACCACACAAAAGTGACACTGCTGCCAGCTAAAACACATACACAACAAAAAATATTGGAGTAGCCCGAGATATACAAAGATTGCAGCGCCACAGCACTAGCGAAAATTTAAATTTGCCGACTGGAATTATTTCGGATAAACGACGCTCTACTGTATACTAATATACTATACTAATAATGTATTTTTTCATACTTTTCGGTTATCCGACCAACCCCAGTCCGCAATTGAGTCGGATAATCGATGCTGTATTGTATGCAAATTAATATAAAAATAACTTAAAATTAAAATAAAATTAATTTTTGGTGGCGTGTTACCCTTTACTCTGTGTTAAAATGACCCGGTATAACGCTGTTTCGTTTCGCGCTCGGTCTTCTAGGAAAGTATCCCCCGCGTTAAGCGAGATCTTACTGTACTCGGTAGAGGAAGTACGCGGGATAAATTCGATCCGATCGAAGTAACTGTCGTTTTAATGATGTAGTAACAGCTTTTTACTTTAAACGCGTGCGAGAAAAATAAATTTCCAGTATAAAATTAGTTAAAAAGTGATCGATAGATGACGTTAGTTACCAACGTTCCGACGTTTATATATACAGTTACACTAAATAAACCTTGGCGTTAAACCGATTTAACGTTAGAGTTAATAAAACTAAAGTCGATTACCATAAATATAGGCTACCGTAATACAGTATAAAGGCTTATATATTATACGAATATTACACTTACCAAAGTAAATCAGATGAACGATTACTTCGTGGGTGACATTTTCGTGTTGGGCTTTGCAATAAAACTTGTCGTTAAAAAATATGGTGGGGAAATTTAAAACGAAACCTTCTCTAGGATCGTACAATATATCTTCGGTCATGGGCACGTATTCGGAATCTTTCCACAGTGTGACGTTCAAATTGGAAAAGGTGGGGCGACAAGGCAGGACGGTCTTTTGGCCGTGGTGAACCGGAATGATGAATATGGACTTGACGAAAACGTTATCTGCATCTGAAATATTTAACGTTTACCTTTAAATCTCGCTTTCTCCTTCGAAACTTCTATACAACCCGGTCGCTGCCTTTGGGCAAATTTCCTTTTACAGAAATTACTTTTTCCTTATTTTACGAAATGGAAATTAATGTAAACATAATATAAACGTAGTTTTAATTTTAAATAATTTACGCGTTAAAATACAACCGAGTTAACTACATTTTCGTTTAAAAAAAATTATAATTTTTTCTCGCACCGAACAATTAAATAATCCGACAACCGGTTGCTCCACTTTCCCGGTAACATTTAAAATCTCGGTGGCGCCATCTGTTATATTTTATTTTTAAAAATATATATTTCTAACTTTTATAAAATGATAAAAAGCTTAATTTTCGGGGTAGAAACGAGTTTTATAAAAAAGAATTGTAAATGCTAATAACCAGTAAAATCGTCATTAAGTCCGACACTACTAGAGATACGCACCACCCCCATTATCTCCCCATCCCCTCGATCTTTAACCGCCAAAATTTAATAAAATCGATCTCTTAATACGCAAACCTCCTCGCAAAATTTCGGAAATTTTCCACAAAAAGCACCGGAGTTAAGCTTCAAACGGGGCGAACGAAATCGTGCCACACACCCATCCGCGCGTACAGAAATTACCCCCGTATTTTTTTGATTTCTCGACGCCCAAAAATGTAAAAATCTGGGGAAGGCGTTTTTTGCCGGATGGCCACACTTTCCCTCCGTTATAACACTTATTAACCCTTTTAAAGCCACGACGTAAAGATGACAGTTTTAATGTTATTTATAATTTAGGATATCCTAAATTTCGATTATCGAGAAACGAGGATTAAAAATAACGGCATGGAGGAAAATCTCGATAGCAAAATATCAAAATTTTATAATATATCGGTGAAAACAAGTTGTCGTTCATTTTGGAATTCTTTTAGTGCACCGCGTCGTCACATTCTTAAGAAAATATAATAATTTGGACGTATTTTCAAAAATTGCTTTGGTGCAAGATATATTATTTCAATTGAAAATGCACTAAGTATGGATACGGATGATGTAAATGTAGACATGGATTATCGTATTGAAGATGAAACTTTTACTGGCGATTTTGATCGTCCCAACAAAATAATATCGGATAGAGAAAAATTGAATACGGCACTGGCGATAACAAAAAATATTGCAGATATTTTGGCTAATTATGGAAGGCAAACCTTCAATTAATATGCAGAGGAATTAAAAGTAATAGAAAGCGATGCAACAAATGGAATTTCTCTTTCGAAGGCGACAGTAGTGAGCTTAGTATAACTGAACCCGAAGAACAAATTCGGTCTAATAACGAGCCCTGTTCAAATCGATGAAATAAAAACTTAAAATTCAAAACTAAAATTAAATCCAAAGGACTAAGCAGACCACTTTTTACAAAAGAAAAATTAAAATACAGAATAAAAAATAATACAGTATATTTATTTTACTTTATTGGNCTGTTCAAATCAATCAAATAAAAACTTAAAATTCAAAACTAAAATTAAATTCAAAGGACATCCGAAGAGAAAGATAAGCAGACCACTTTTTACAAAAAAAATTAAAATACAGAATAAAAAATAATATATGTATTTTAATTCATTGGTATACCTACCAATCTACTTTAAATTTCATTATCTGTATTTCACCAATTTAAAGATACTTCATAGTTTATTGATTACTTTATTGAACAACATTGTAACCGAACTTTAATAAATTAAACTATAATTATTTATAATTGCGTAATTGCGGTATTATCAAAATATTAATTGTAATAACGGCGCATACAGTCGGTATCCGGCCGGAATATAGGAACATACAGTTAGTACGTATAAGTAGCCGACTGCGTACACGTATCATACGTATAAATAGCCAATGGCGTATACGTACTGTATGTATAAACAGCCACGTCCTTAACTATATACGAACTTCCACGAAAACCGGAAGTCACGTTATTTCGATTCAAAAATTTTTCCCCGAAAAGTGTTTGATAGACGACCGACACGATTCTATTGTTAAAGGTAAAGTGTGACGTACGGGGACGAGCCACTGCTAATTTCGGTTAGAAATCGTATATTTTAAATTAGATAAATTTTAAAACGGTTAAAAATTGCAGCCCGGCATGGCCATTGTGTCGCAATAAATAATTGACGGTTTCGGTTGTTATTCCGCTTCTCGCAGAGCTGGCTAGCCTAGGTTGTGTATCAATTTTAGTATTAAATTTAAGCCTTATCTAGCTTATACGTAGCTGCACCACTTATCGGCGTACGCTACAACTAAGGTTCCTTTAGACTCGCGGCCTAAAGAAAACCTAAAAACTGCGCATCGACATTAAATGTAGAGGGGTAGTACCTTACGTACCGTACGCCGCTCGGAAGGATCCCTCCTTTCTGTTCTTTCTATCTTTTCGTCTTCCTTCCTCCCTATCTCTCTCTCCTCCCCTTATTCCTCCGGCCCGAACACAATGTACCGTACGGCCGTTCTTTTTTAAGCGTTAAATAGTGACGAGTTTCGTAAAGAATCGTAAACGCTAATAACGAACGACGTCCTCCCTTTCGACCTTCCGAGATTTCCGTAACGTGTATAACAGCCTTATAGGCTGTTATACACGTTACGGAAATCCTTTGAGGATTAGCCGTGATTTTTTTTTCTATCTATCCACCTTTAAATAAAAATAATTCTTTATACGTTGGAAAATATTTTAATAAGTTTTGTAAATTACTATGTTCGATCCAGCCAGTTATATCCGATTTTTTTTTTTTCGTCTGTTAAGTACATCCTTTGAGGATTTCCGTAACGTGTATAACAGCCTTATATACGAAGGTTTTATCTTCTCGCCCCCTCGACCTTTAACCGGCAAAAATACGCGACAAATTTCTTTTCTTAATCTTAACTCCATTCCGAGATATTAAACGAAATAGACACCAAAACACGTATACGCACCTAGGCTTACACGCACGCGCACACATATTTATATACATACATACATAGCCACGAAATTTTTCCGTTTTTTCTTTTAATATTTTATGGATTGGGAGGGTGTCGAAACGAGGAGATTGGCAAAAAAGTCGGAGGGTGAAATTTGACACGATTCCGATACTTTCCCGCGTTATAGGCTATACCGTACGGTGCTGTACAGCAGTGTTTCTTAACAGGGGGACCGCGGCCCCCTTGGGGTCCGTAAGAAGTTCGCCGGGGGCCGCCAAATTATGAAAAATTTCCTTCAGAATATAATAAAAAGAAAATTGATGTATAACCGAATATCGTATTGAAAAGCGAAATAAGAAAGATTAAGTTTTCGTATTTAGTTTTTTTTATTTATTTCTTATTTTTTCCTACTTACAACTTTGTTAGTACAGAAGAAATAAATGCAAATATGCTACTGACACCGCACTATTTATTTCTTTTATTTCAAAGTAATTCTAAGAAATTATTAAAACTATTAATGCTTGGAATTTTGCATACAAATTCGTGCAGAAAATCCTCCCCTGTTTGCTGCCTTTCGCAAGTACGTATTTTCGAATATTTTTTGTTTTTTCTATAAATTTTTAAATGTTTCTTATTTTATTTTTTGTTAAAAATTAATGAGCTTTTATGCTTAATTGTGGAGTTTGAATGTTATTTAAACAGATAATAAAATAATAAAGTTATTTTTTTACATTTATTATATAAAAAAATAAAGCAATAATAAAAAAAATCAATTTATTATAAATAATTTAACAAATATAAATTATTATTAAAAAATGGAGGTTACAAAAAAAATTATGAAATATTTGGTGGGTCGCGAGTATAAAAAGGTTAAGAACCACTGCTGTACAGTACATAAGAGCCGGGAAAGTAAAAATAATTATTTACTTAAATTATTTGGCTAGAATTGATATGTAAAAATGTTGCATACATATACGGTATTTACTTAAAAAGTGCGGGTTTTATTAAAAGGAAGAAGAAGTGTTGAACCGTTTGATTAAACAAAATTGCCGGTTTGGTCAGACGACTAGAATTTCCAAACAAACTTTTATTACCGGATGCGCGAGTGCTGGGCAAATGGAAATTTCAGCACGTGGCTACGACATACGTATAGTACACGTATACGCCGTACAGTACAGTACATTAAATTAGTAAAACGATTCTTTTAAAACGTTTCGAAACTTTGCAGATACTGTATTACCGTTTATTTAAAAATGCCAAATATTTCCACGAATCGTACTTAATTTAAGAAGGCGCCTTGGGCATATATTTTAAACGGATTTATTAACGTAGCCGCCGGTGTCGGAAATCGAGGATTTTTGCCGGGCCCGACGGCGATTCTTACCCCTGTAAAATCTACGTTACTTTTAAAGAGAAAATAAAATCTTTAAGATCCCGGCCGGAAGGAATTCGAATCGTCCGAAATTCTTACTTTCTTTCGTACTCGATTGCCTCCGGTTCTTTCAATTCGTAGGAGCCAGCCTAAGGTATTATTAGCCAGGTCGTGGCCGAAGTTTTAAACGTCGGACGTTCGGCGTCTCTTTCCCGTAATCCTAGAAATTTGACAATGGTGTTTGGAACGTAGAGCGCGATACCACTGACTATCTAAACACCATTGTCAAAATTCTAGGCCGAACGTCCGACGTTCACGGTTTCGGCCTCGACCTCTCTGTTAACTTCCGTTTATAAACGCCACGTTTATTAATTCTCGGTCCCGGCGCGTTACCGTACCGCTCCTAGCGATTTTAATTTCTGGTTACCTTCCCGACTGTTATAATATAATATTATAACGGCGTGACGTTTGAGCCTCCGGGTGGTGGGAATCCGTCTAAAAACGGCCAAAAAACTCGTACCGGAAATAAGCGCGCGCTTTGGTATCTATTTAGTTTAATATCCGAGGGAGGAAATTTGGTACACTATCTGGCGTATAAGGGGCACGGATGCTATTAAAATTTGGTGATTGAAGGTGGCGCGTGGTATCCGAAAAGGGGACTTAACCGCCATTTTACTGGTTATTCACATTTACGACTTTTTTTAATATAAAACTCGTCTCTACGCTCAAAATTAAGCTTTTTGTCATTTTATAGTAATTAATAATATAAAAAGTTTTAAAAGTAAAACGCTGCCGCGAGCAATTTTAAATGTCTTTAAAACGTATCAAATTTTCCTGGTACTCTTCTCATCTCGTGGGCGGAAGGCGCGGACTCGTCTCCTTTAGAACGGTAAGTTTGGTAAATCGGAAGGAGAATTTCGGACTCACCGTTGACGAAGAGGTAGACGGAGGTAGCGTCTTCCGGAGAGCGGCAGTCGGTCCCTCGGTGGCAGCAGGTGTAGTATCCGGTGTGGTTGTATTCGGCCGGACTCAGCAAGTAGACGCTGCGGTACCGCTGAGCCTGGGAATTCCACTGGTCGCTACCGTTTCCCTGGAGGGGTTCCGAGCTTTCCTGAGAACAGACGACGGGTTAGTTCGGGCGCTTTCCCTCTCGACTTTCGTTAATTAATTTAATTAATAAAACAATAACGGCCTCCGTCCGCCCTAAGCCTTTCTAGCGGCCACTTATTTTACCTTCGTTTCCGACGTATTAAACGTTAAGAAAGAATTCCCTCGGCCTTTGGTCGCTGCGGAGCGCGGACCCAATGCGGATAATCGGGAATAATTAATTTAACATACCGGACGGCGGTATTTTAAAACGGCTGTTAGTTTACCTTCGTTCGCGGCGTTAACGGACGTCTCCGCCCATTAAGGATAAAAATAGTAATTACTTCTGGCCGAAAAATAGGAAGGGGCGACGATACCCTAGCCCGGAACTCGTTCTCCCTTTATTTTTCGCCGACGAAAAGGGAGGAACTTCTCGCTCCGAGAAAGAAGACCGCGGACGCCGGAATCTTTCCGCCCTCTCCCCATGGGCGTAGCGAGGGGGGAGCCTGGGTGGGCACGGCCCCTCCCAGGGAACCTAGTGCCCCCCCCAGGAAATCGCAGCCGAAAAAGTGTTGAGTCGATTTGTAAACACCTAAAGCTAAAATAAAAGTTTTGAATACTAAAAAAAAGGTGAACGGCTTGCTCGGTGCCCAATAATGAACAATAATTTGAAATAATTCAATTTTGTGTCAGGTTGGCCTCCACTAGGCCCCCCCATAACAAAACTCTGGCTACGCCCATGCCTCTCCCCCTCCTTTCGGAGGCCTCCTCTTCCGCTCCTCGGCCCCTTCCCCGGCCGTAACGGCGGTTAACTCCGCCCGAAAAGGCGTTCTTTCCGGCCTTCGTCTTCTTTCTCGCCCGAGTCGGACCGGACCTTTCGAGAGGATTCCCGCCCGCGGGAGCGGGGAGAAAAAAAAAGGCGGATCGATCCGGTCTTATTAGGGAAAAAAGGGCGTTTTCGTTTTTTACGGCTCCTCCCGACAATCCCAGCGAAAGGAGTCGACCCGGACGATGGAAATACGGCGGGTTAATTAATTTACCACCGTAACTAAATGGACGTAGGAAGAGGTAAATCGGACTTATCCGGCGTGTGGTTAGACACAATTTCCACATAAAATATCGGACGCCGGTGTTCCGTATCTTATTAACGAAATAGTCCAAATGAAATTTTATCAACATAAACGACTTCCAACAACTTAACACTACGTTGAATAATAACAACCCACGAAAAAACCTTTTTTTTACGAGTGTTATGTCACTAGTAAATTCCACAAGTACTTTCGACCTCCACCGAGGTCTGCTTCAGGTGGTGACTGGCCGTGTTTCGACCCGACCGTCGTAACGATGTTGCCAACGATGTTGCCAACGATGTAAATAAATAAACGTGCGCGTCGGGTTTCACCCCTCCGACCGCCGTTGCTCGAACTCCTCGAATAAATACCTCCACGCCTGTGCAAGTGTTTCCCCATCCCTGTAGTTGATGCAGTTGCCCCCCATGATAGCTTTGTGAATCTCCCAGGTCTCCAGGTGCCGGATGTGATCAGCGCGGAACGCGGGTCTGATAAGTTTGGTGTTCCGTGACATAGGTCGATAAGGCAGTGGTGTGTCTTTTATGCTTAATGTCAGCTTGGTGTTCACGTATTCGTTTCTGTGTTGATCGGATGGTGGAGCCGATGTAAACTAAGTCTCTATTGAATCTGTCGTCCCGTACGGAAATGGAGTAAACACCTGGGGCCCTGGTGAGATCCATTGCGTCCTTCGCGTTGCGCGGCAAGTCGTAAAGCGTGCCGGTTCTTAAGTACGCGATTTTGGTGCGGCTGTTGTTAGCGATCTCTCTATATAAGGGATCTAGATGCCGGTTGAAGCGGACGACAGCGCGTCTCGCGTTCCCATCCGGTTGACGGTTGTCGTCCGGCGATGGTAGGGGGCAGTCCCTGCGGCTAGGGGGGCGGCGGGCGCATGCACGTGCTAAACCGCGGACCAAGGCTTTACTATAACCATGTTCCTCGGCAATTTTTTCTATGCGTCGGATCTCCGACCATGCGTCGCGCACATGTGTGTGGTGCGTGAAGGCCCGTCTGGTAAGGGTCCGGAAAGCCGCGATTTTGTAGATAAAGGGGTCAGAGGAGTTCGCGGGGATGAACAGCGGGAGTTGGTCAGGTTTATGGTAGACGCTCGTTTCTATCTTGCCCCCCCTGAGACGGATGTTAACGTCAAGAAAATGTGCACTCGAGTTGCTAACCTGATCTAAGCCGAGGGTGAGGCCATATGCATTGTCGTTCATACACGACAAAAAATCGTCCAGATTGGGAGGGGTTTTCCACAGTATAAAGATGTCGTCCACGTATCTTTGGTATAGACTGATGTTTGGTAAGAATTTGGGCAACAGTTTCTCCTCCAATTGTCTCACCACCAGCTCGCAAAGGCCCCCCGAAAGCGAAATTTTATCGTTTTTAAGGCGGAACGTAAGCCATTTATAAAAGCCTGCGGTCGACCGGTCTGGAAATTGGGCGCCGAAAACTTAAGAATTCTTCGGTTCTTCTTCCGGCTAACGGCTAAATTTGGAAAATCCGGCTCTACCGTTAGTTATATACTAGGTGGCAATATTTCAACGTACAGTACTTTGGATTAATTAAAATTTATATTTTATTACGACCGCATTGCGTATTTTATTACAAATTTCCATAGTACGTGTGAAAAAACGATAACACGGCTATCGTATATTCGAACATCGGCGGCGGAACGAAAGCGCCGTATTAGCCAATACGGCAGTGTTTCTTAACAGGGAGCCGCCAAATTATGCAAAATGTGCGCGTATTTGTGTGAAGAAGGGTTATCGACTACGGTGGATATAAAAAGAAAAAAACGCAATGGATGGCCATTAGATAGCATTACAAACAATCGAACAAATTAGTGGCGGCAGAAATTTCATTAAATCATTTTCGAATATTTTTTGTTAAAAATTAACGAGTTTTACGTTTAATCGCGAAGTTTGAATGATATTTAAACAAATAATGAAATGATAGTTATGTTTTACATTTATTATATAAAAAATAAAGCAATAATTAAAAAATCAATTTATTATAGATTAATTTAACTAATATAAATTACGAAATATTTGGTGGACCGCGAGTATAAGAAGGTTAAGAACCGCCGCAGTACGGAACAGCTTCCGCGGCCAAAATATCCGAATGGCGCCAGGCGAATGGCCAAACTTTTTCCATCGTCGACCCCCTACGAGTTTCGAAGCTCGCATCGACCCCCACCAAAAACTTTACGTTCCGAGCGAAACAAAAAACTACTCGCCGTTTTAATGCATTTCTTTTCATTTTGCCTATTTTATCGTTTATTGCGTATTTGTTAATAATAATTTTTGTAACCGACAATCGGCCAGACGGGTAAGCTCGATAATCGACCATCCCCGGTGTAAGGCTACGTCCTAAGTAATTTAATAATTTCCCATTACGTAAATGTAACTTTTAAAAGTACTCATAACAATTACCCGTCGAGTTTACCGTTTTAACGCTCGTCATATTTTCCGTAGCCAGCGTCTGGCCGCCATTTTGTAAACGACACGCGTCCACTCCGGACAAAGATTCTTTGCGCCCGCGGTGGCCGGACGCTGCCGCGTAGGACGTAGCCGAAAGCGGCCGGATTACGCGCATTGGCCCACCACGCGCGGTTTAGCCGGCGGAAGCTAGGCGCCAAAATATCGTAGGATTCTGTCCGGGGACCTATTCCCAGCCCTTCCGATAACTGGACCAGAGAGATACCCGGGACCTAAGGCGAAAGGCAGTTAACGAACTCTGGACAAATCGCTATTCGGCGCTCCACGTTAAGCGGGTTTGGCTAGAGGTAGTTGGTCGAGACGCTATTGATAGCTATTACGCTTTAACCAATCGCGGTTTAGTTAACATTGTATTTATGTCACGCCACTGCCAGCCGCCATTTTCTAAGAGAAGCGCGTGGTTTTAGCATTGTCGCGTATCGGCGCTAGCGAAATAGTTTCGTTTTAAAACGTGGAAGAAAGGACAAGGAGTGGCCAGTTCGAGATGCCGGTTAATTTTGTGGAAGAAACCCTAAGTTAATGTCGGGGAAGTCGGACGCTTCCTTTACCGTAAAAGATGGCAAGAAAGAGCCGATGGAGTCGGCCGACAGAAAGACCCAGGAAGATGGCGAAAAGTAACCGATAGTCACGTATTTATATATTTATATTCGAAGCTATCATTTTAATTTAAACGTACGCCAACGAAACCTATTTCAAAAATAACGTTGGCGCCGTAGCTACTTACTTTAAATTTTAATTACATTATTCATACAATACAGTCATACCCCGACTTACGCCAACCCGGAGTTACGCGATTTTCAAATCTCGTCGATTCGTCTTTTGTTTGAGCGCCACACAACTCTCGATTATTCTCTCCCCCACACTATTGTTCGGCTTACATGTTCGGACGGGTGGCGCGGAATCGGCGCATAGCTACAATTTATTTTGTGAAATTTATTTCTGTTTGTTATATCTACGGAGACTGGAGAGACTCTACGTGGTGATTTCTTGTAACCGTGAACGAACCAAAAGGCGAGATAAGATTAACGAGAACATTTATTAGCTTACATACATCCGACTTGGATTTTACACAATATACAACTGACAAGATTACCTTTCAAATTATAAACAGACTCGATCCCAAGCGGTCTTTCGATCGTCGGACATACAAAAGAAATGAACAGATGACGCCTAACTTAAGCGCGGTTTACAATAACGAATACGATTAATCTTAACACTCTACTATGTCATCCAAACGAAGTAGAACTGATTCTTCTGCATCAAATAAGAAAAAAAAACTTTATCTTTGGAATGTAAAGTTAACATTATTAAAGACTTGGATACAAAAATGAAAATTTGTGAATTGGCAAAGAAGTTTGATCTACCGGAATCGACGGTCAGAACAATTATAAAAGGCAAAGAAAAAATTCTCGAAGCTGTGAAAAATGCTCAATCTTTAAATTCAAGCATCATTCNNNACCGGGACATTCCAA